GGGGGGGGGGGGGGGGGGGGGGGGGGGGGGGGGGGGGGGGGGGGGGGGGGGGGGGGTTTAAATGTTAATGAATTTAACACCTCTGACCGCAGCGGGTGGTGGCTCCTATTGTAATTTTTGTCTGGGGCATTCATGATTTCTCACCAAGTAGTTGTTGAAGAAAAGCATGAAGATGTGCAAAACTAAAAAAATCTACTGATCAACCAACTGGGTATTGAAGTACATGACTGGAGATTTGATCTCCTGCCCGCAGGATGAATCCGTGGCCCGTTGCATCAGTGAAGACTGTCCAATGAGCGCCGGCATAGCTGTGATGTTCAAGAAGAAGTTTGGACGAGTCTCAGAGTTAAAGGAGCAGAGTGAGTCAGACTAGTTACTAAAAAAAAAAAAAAAAGTCTTTGTTAAATAAATAAAAATAATAACAAAAACACGAAACGACGTTTCATGTTTATGCACTTTGTATGTATGTATGTCCTAATAGAGAAGCTGCCAGGGCAGTGTGCTGTCCTGTCATACAGACCAAGTTTCATCTACTGTCTGGTAAAACATACTGCAGGACCAGAAAGTTGCTTTGTTATTCAATTTTATAACTGTATCCTGTTATGTGTGTCAGATCACAAAGAAAAAAACAGCCACAAGCCCACGTATGTCAGCTTAAGACAGAGTCTGGAAGATATGAAGTATCACTGCTTACAAAACGCCGTCAACAGGGTTTCAATACCCCAGTTTTTAGGAATTACTGTAGATAAATACTATAATAAATACCCCTTAATTCTTATTTAGCGGGAATAACCATAACCCTAGCAGGAATAATAAAACTGTATGTTTTACCTTGTCTCTCCCCCCACAGAATCGGCTGCGGCTTGGACCGATTGCAATGGTCAAAGGTGTCAAAAATCCTGGAGCAGGTCTTTAAAGACACCAATATCACCATCACAGTATACAGTCTGCCCTGTTTTTGGATAAGCTTCAAATGCAAGCTGTGTAGTCCTGTCTCTATAGCTCTTATTGTGAGAGTGGAAGGCAAAGGCTCATCAACTGGTAGCAAACAGGCAACACGATGGACGGCAACAACAGTCAAACCAGGACGTATGACAAGGACCCAATAAAGATACAGAATCACAGGTGGGATTAAATACCCAGGGGATAATCAAGGAATGAGACACAGCTGGGAACAACCAAGCTGTGTTGTTCCCAGCTGTGTCTCATTCAAACAGGACAACACAAAGACTCAACTAACACAGAAACTTAAACACACAGAAAAACTCTAATCCTTACATTTCTGGTCCAAAACAAAACATAATTATGTCTTGTCAAAATGTAAATCCATAAATCCTAGTCATTCAAGTTTGTAGTTTATATAATTTTATTTTCCCTTTTGAATACAGTTTGTAAAATATAGTTTCAGTGACATTCTCATGCATTAAGATGAAGCCTATGTACGCAGTGTGATTCTGTTGACCTTTGTCCTGGACGTTTACCTGGCAGAGCAGCTCCAACACGAAGCCCGCACAGGACTTGTGGCCCCTCTCAGTGAAGTTTTCCATGATCCGGTAATATCTGGCCATCAGTTCCTGGTCCTTCTGGCGATCGCAACAGCCAAACTCCTGGTACATGATGCAGAACTCAAGATCTCTGTCTGGACGGAAGGGGGGCTTAAAGTCCAAACACTGGGGGTGAAGCGCTGCAGGTGTCACACACAGGAACAACACACACACAAAGGCCTGTAGCCGGAGCCCCAGTTGGCCCGGAGTTCCAGCAGAAGTCTGCAGCATGATGGTGAGCGGAGGGAAGACTGAGGTGGGGAGAGCAGCTCTGGTTTCCTGTCAGGTTGGACTTTGCTCTGAACTCAATGACCAGGTGACGCGCAGAGCTGCAGGGATCCTGCTCAACCCATACAAGATATGGACTGTGTGTCAGGCTGGCCAAAGGGTTCAGCTTTGGAAACATCACAGGCTCCATTTTTCCAGCAGGAAACAACAAGGAAACCTGATGCTTAAAAACTCAGCAAAGAATACTGCAGGAAGAACTTTGCATAACAATAAGAAATTAATTAGGAAGTAAAAACACAGTGTATATGCAATATGGAAAGCTTGTGATATTCTCGTTTCTTTTCTGGAACTTTTGTTATCAGTCCAGTTAGTAAGTGACATAGACAAAGAGGTGCTTTCTCTTTACCATCGCTATATGCATGCTGGGTATGAGGGATTGCTGAGGTTTATCAGTGGCTTAATTTGAGCAGAATAGAAGTAGTTCTTTAAATGTGGTATGTTCATGCCCCATTTTTCTTTTGTAAGCTGTAGTGTTTTAAATCTAATTCTTGGCTTTTTTCCAAGCCATATGAATCTGGAAAGCATTGTGTCCCACTCTACAAATGGCTTTTTGGTAATTTCTGCTGGTAGGGGTTAAACAAGAAAATAAATCTTGGTAGTAGGTGTTGTATATTTGACTGATTTAATGACGAAAAGGAGTCGGGTGGATTTTTAGATGAACTTTAGTGGATTAAGAATGAACGAATCATACGTACTAATACATGACAGAGAGTCAGAACTCAGCTAACATGCTAACAGTTCATTTTTGGCGGGAGACGCACTTCTTCCGTCACATTTCCAGGCTCCTCCTTCACTTGTTGCAAAGGACCATGGGACATGCAGTCCACGCTGGCAAAGGGGCACAAACAGTCCGCCTCGAACCAGACACCAACTATCAAAAATGCTAACCAAGTAACTGCAACTCAAATAGTCACCTGTACTAGACTACAATATTAGAAACGATAAGTCCCAAGTAAATCCTGGTTAAATCAAACAAATTCTCAACAGTAGGTTCATTTTGATAGATTAAATTCTTTGGGTTAACCTCATGAAGGGGGTGACAGTCCATGGTTGTATATCTAATCTAATTTTGGTCTGAAGATCTTCATAATTACACTTGGCTATAGTGGTTGTATCTTTGGGGATCAGAACTCCAAGGTACTTCAATACGATTTGGTCCCATTTTAATTCCGCACGCAAAGAATTTGGTGGATTATGAGTAAATGTCAATATTTGTGTTTTTTTCACATTCAGTTTATATCCTGCAAATTCACCAAAGCTGCTCAAGCTCTGAAACAATGTAGGCAGTGATGTGTTTGGCTCACTTATGTATACCAACACATCATCCGCGTATAGCGCCACCTTGTGTGAATCACCAGAAATGCTTATACCTTTGATATATTCAGTTTGCCGTATTAGTTGGGCCAACAGTTCTATGTAAAGGGCGAACAGTAAAGGAGAGAATCCACATCCTCGTCTCGTTCCACGCTCCAATTCATTTGACAGATTTCCATTGATTTTTATCTGTGCATTTGGTTTTATGTATATTGACCTGATTACGTCAATAAAATTGGAGTGGAAAGCAAACGTCTCGAGTACCTTATATAGAAGGTCCCAGCTTATTGTATCGGAAGCTTTTTCAGCATCAAGGCTGATCACTGCAGCTGGTTTGGCATTTTTGAATGTGGTTCCGGATATGCAATGTGCGACATATATTATCATGGGTTTGT